ATTTGTTTTAAATATAACATTTTTTTTGTTCCAATATTATTTTTATGCACATGCCCTTTATTTTAATATTTTATATTTGGGAGAAATATCTCATTTATTTAGTATGTAAAGGATAAGGTGCACATTAGATTGAAATAGACGCATGCTTATTTGAATGCTTCGAAAAGATACACATTAGCTTTGGTGCACCAGCATTATATAAAAATGAAGCATTCAAGATAAGCTTTTATCCGCAAACTATCTGAGATGTCAGAGACATATGAAATGGTAATTAAAAAACAATATAAATGAGTGTCATGAAAAATAAATTTTAATTTAAAAGTATATTACATAAATAACTTAAGCCATCACGTCTTATTTATTATAAAATATAGGGAAATTTACATACATACCACTATATTTCTAACCATTTACATATCTAACACCTCAAAGTTTAATATTACTCTTATACCACCCAAAACTGATACTTGGCATCACTTATACCACTCCGTTTCTATGGGACCTCACGGTGTATATCTTCCCGCCGAATTTCCTCATTCACGGGAATACCTTGCTCGCCTACAGTCAGAATACCTACCAACATCTGGTCGCTGCTCGCGATCAGATCTCTGCTAGCGTCTCTGGACGGTTAAGCTCACTGCTCGCGATCAGACCGCCAAACGGTAACTCTGGACGGGACTACAGTTGCAGGAAGCTGGACGGGGCAAGTTGAAGAAATGAAAAGAATGATTAGAAGCTGAGACAATTGAAAATAAATAAGCATAAAGAATAATAACAAATAGAGATATTTAAATAGAACAGAAAATTAGAAATATAAACTCACATAATTTTATATATATAAGCATTTATATTAATGCTTTCTGACACTTCATTTAGTGTGTCATAGTTAGTGTGGTTTTTAACATCATCCTAACGATCTAATGGATAATTAAATGTTAAAGAATACATTTAGCTTGATATAATAAAATTATGAATAATTTAGATTTTTTATTTAAAATAAAAAGGATATAATTAATCATTAATTTTTCTTTTTAAGTTTTAATTTAGTTAGTTTAGTTTTTTTAAGTTTAAATTTTATGTTTAAGATTTCCTCGCACAATTTCTTGTTTATTATATTTTTTTGATGTGCGTGTCATTAGATCGTATTATGGGTAAATTTTATAATGTCAACTTAGGTGTACACTCATATAATTTGGATGTCATTTTTGAGGAATATAGACATAACTTAAACAGAAACCGTCAAATTGTAGAAAAGAACAAGTATTTATTGAGAATGTCTATTGGGAACGTAGTTTCAAATAAGTTTATGATAAAATTAGGAAGAAAAATTGATCATTTTATAGAATAAGCATTGATATATCATCAAAATATTATCTTGGTCGGGCACGGATCTCGAGGTAAAAATCAAGTTGGAAACTTTAAAAATTAAATTAGATACCATCTAAACTCCGATTTCAGCAAACTTATAGTCGAACAGAACGTCTTGGAAATACGAACCCAACAACACAGAATTTGACTCAATCCGAGCCCAAATGAGTCTAAATGAAAGACCCGAAGCACATTTGGATGGTTCAAACTATAATTTGTATTACTAAACAATATGATGTGCTTATAGTCAAATCGAGCGGATCAAGGAGATGAATCCAACAAGCCCAAGATCGCCGAATTTTAATATCATTCCCAATAAATGATCTATGATCAAAGGATTCAACATCGGACAATCATTCAAACAACTCACAATTTAATTACCATTGATCTTCATGCTATTTATTGGTCATGCCACTCTCATAAAACTATAAATAGATCATTCATTTCTCATAGAGAGGAACCCCCAAAGGGGGAAGAAAGAGGCCCAAGCAAGAAGAGAAAAGAAGAAAGCAAGGAAGAGAAAGGAAGAGACTTCTCCTCGACCACTGCCAGACTTTCACCCGGCAGCCGACCGATGTCGAACTTCTGCACGATCACCAACTGACGCTGGAATTAAACAATGAAGCGAGAAGAGAAGGAAGAAAAGAAAGAGAAGGAGGAAAACTCTCTTGTCACCAAACTCTTCCTCGACCACCGCCAAACTTCCACCCGTCAACCTATCGACGCTGGTCTGCCTAAATCTTATCTGACGCTGGAGTTCTGTCCGGCCGCCTACTAACGTCAGACTTCTACCCGATGTCGGACCACCACTCATCACCAGATTCCTACCTAACTCTGGACTTCTACCAGACGCCAAACCTCCGTTCGTCGTTAGATTTATACCCGATGCTGGACTTCTACCAGACGCCAGACCTCTGACCGTCACCAGAATTTCGTCTGACTTTTATTTGATTCCAAACTTTTGTCCATTAACAGACTTCTACCCAACGCCGGACTTGTGCTCTTCTCCGGATTCCTGCTAAACGTCGGACTTCTGCCCATCACTGGAATTCTGTCGGGCTTCTACCCGATGCCAAACTTCTGCCCGTCGATGAACATTCGTTAGACTTCTATATGATGATAGACTTTTATCCATCGTTGGACTTCTACCTGACACGGTCTTTCTGACCTCCATTATCATACAATGGTCTTTATGACCTCCATCACCTGTTGACTATTTCCTTCTAATTTATGTTGCCCACCGACTATGATCCTTCCGACCAAAAAAAGACATCACCAATGATTCTTTGTATTCTATATGTGAACTAAAAACTTTTAGAAATGAATTAATAACTAAGAGAGCTTTGATTTCTACAAGCTTATAATCGAACTAAACATCTTGATGAGATGAAGCTATCGACACCACAAAATGATCTGATATGACTACAAATGAAGCAAACCAAATACTTTAATTAATAATATTTGGAAACTTCTAAACATTAATTGAAGGACCAAATGATGATCTTCATATCTTGAGTACTAATAATCAAATCGAGCAAATTGATGAGAAAAATCTAAGAAGCTTAATATCATTTTAGTCTAACACGATTTAAACATTCAGATATTTAATAAATGATCTATAATCAAGGGGATCAATATAACTATACAATAGTTTGCTTTTGATTTTAACTACATTTATTAAAATGCTCCTCTTAAAAAAATGATATAAAGATGGCTTCATTTTATATAGGAAAAAAGAGGATAAGTGTTGAGAGAGCTAAAGAGCTCAATAGTAATTTCATATGATCACTGTCGATGACTACTATCAATAATAACCGCCCCATTCGCCAGAATTCCATCATATAACTATTATCTTTTAACTATTAACATATAATCCAGTCATTGTGTTTTAACTTTCCGCGTGTAGATACGTGATTTTTGTAATATTTATAATAATAATAATTAGATAATTATACTCAACCATGTATAATCATTTCTTCTTTAATTACAAGGAGAGTATGATTATTGTATCTTCTATTATATAGTGTATTGTTGCAATTGGTCCAGCACTCATAGTTATGCCTCTTGAATTTTTCATGTAAAATTTTTTTTGGCCTCTCATAACTTTTATTTGTGCATGTTAGATCTTTGTACAAAGCTAAGGCAATAAATACACACTTTATTAGCACAAATTTTCTAACACATAACAAACATCAACCGAAAATTGATTCAGTATAGTAGTCCTCTCATTCATAAAAAAAAAAATAAAAAAAAATAAAAAAAAAAATTCTTAAGACAACACAATTGATTACAATCAGTTTACTAATTTCTCCTCTTACTTTACATATTTATAATGTTATCCCTCTAATTTTTCAAGAGGAATGATGCTGGTAAGTAATACTGCATTACTCATAATGCAAGTCCAAGATTTCTACCATGTTGCTTGGTTTTTACCAGTTGGGAACTTATATATTCAAAGATCTATTTTTTGTTTATATGATTAAAAAGTTATAAAACTTTGATAATCATAAAATCACTTCGATTCATAACATGTAGGAACATTTTTTTGCCACACAATATAAAATTTTTTACTGCTGAATCCTAAATGTTGAAAAGTTGAACATTCAACCTTAAGAATCAGATGTTAATTTTGTGTTTTAAAAGGATGGCCATTAAAATAAAAGCATAAAATTAAATTAAGTGTTAAGGATGCTCAGGTGGATGTGTGGTTTCACTCTTATAAACATAATGTTAAATGATTATATATGTGAAAATTTTGGAGTAGCTTTAGTGGCATATACGATTAGAGAGATATGCCTGAGATTATTTGATCACATAAAACATCAGCCTTCTGATTCAGCCTACGTTAAGAAAGGTTAGGGTAGGCTAAAAAAGAATTGGTTAGAAAATATTAGAAGTAATAATTTTTTAATAGATTTAAACTAGAATTTGACTCTTAACAATACACAATAGAGAAAAAAAAATCATGTAGCACCTGTTCCCACGAAGTAGGATAAAGGTTTGATACTATTTTTATTTTTGTAAAAAAGAGGTGACTTACATAAATACTACAAAAATTTATGAATATATGTAATTACATAACGTTTAAAATTTTAAATCACTTAAAATGTTGTTAATACCTTTTTAAAGTAAAAAATACTACAAATATTTATTTATTTAAAAAAACACTTTAAAAAAAAATACTTTGATACGATTTAAATATTAAAATGATATATAATTAAATAAAATACTTAAACATTTGATTTATAGCATATTAATTCACCTTCAAATAAATAGTAGATTAACCATTACAATTAGCATTACAATTTTCAACTGATTTATTATCCATTTGAGCGTCAACATATTTGCAAAAAGGTGGAAAAAAATAATCACAGATGGCCTAAGGACATTTGCTCACAGCTTTCTTAGAATAAAACAAACTTCCCAAATAGCCGCATCCAAGAAGAAAAATCCCAAGCCACAAAAATTATCTCGCAAAGCTTGTGGACGTACGATAGCCAACCAAATAATTAATTACAATCAAACCACGGCCTCAGAACCCCTCATCCAATGGAATCAAAGCTCCAGATTTCCTTCAGATAACCACACCAATCCTCTTACCACTCTCTTCCTCCCTTCAAATACCCACCGCCGCTTCATCTCTCCCTCCAAGCCTAAATCAATCAGCAACAGCTAGCTCCCACAATGGCAGCCACCGCAGCCACAATGGCGCTCTCATCCCCTTCCCTCGCCGGCAAGGCCGTCAAAGCCTCCCCATCCGCCGCTCCCATTTTCGGCGAGGGCCGCATCACCATGCAGGATAAGACGACATCGAGCAGGCCCCGCACTACAGCTGGGAAGCTCCGCCCCTCATCTAGCAGCCCGTGGTACGGCCCAGACCGCGTCAAGTACTTGGGCCCATTCTCTGGCGAGCCACCTTCCTACCTAACCGGCGAGTTCCCCGGCGATTACGGCTGGGACACTGCCGGCTTGTCGGCTGACCCGGAGACCTTCGCTAAGAACCGGGAGCTGGAGGTAATCCACTCACGGTGGGCCATGCTGGGCGCACTGGGCTGCGTGTTCCCGGAGCTCTTGGCTCGCAACGGCGTCAAGTTCGGCGAGGCGGTGTGGTTCAAGGCCGGGTCCCAGATCTTCAGCGAGGGTGGGCTCGATTATTTGGGCAACCCGAACTTGATCCACGCTCAGAGCATCCTGGCTATATGGGCTGTTCAGGTTGTCCTCATGGGCGCTGTTGAGGGGTATCGCATTGCGGGCGGGCCTCTGGGCGAGATAACTGACCCGCTATACCCTGGCAATAGCTTTGACCCGCTGGGTTTGGCTGATGATCCAGAAGCCTTTGCTGAGCTGAAGGTGAAGGAGCTTAAGAACGGAAGGCTGGCAATGTTCTCTATGTTTGGTTTTTTCGTGCAGGCCATTGTCACCGGCAAGGGACCTCTGGAAAACCTGGCAGACCACCTCGCTGACCCGGTGAACAATAATGCTTGGGCCTATGCCACCAACTTCGTTCCTGGAAAGTGAGGATTTTTATTTCAGATTTGATTGGTTCTCGTCAATGTAAACCTGATGGTCTGATTTATGTCGTCAATGTTGATCATTATCATCAATCTATCTTGTGCATTAATGAACTGGTTCTTTTTGTTTGTTATGTTACATTGATCTTTTTAATTAGTGTCATTATTTGCATCATTAGGTATTTAAGTGACTATTTTATTTCTTGATTCATCTAAATATTTAATTGATAGATATTCATCATTTGTAGGATTTTATTTTCTTGTTTGATCCTACTTTTAGAGAGCATTCCTCGAAGAAAATTTCATTAAAATTTTTACAAAAATTCATTGAAAACTTGTTAAAACGCTAGAGAATCCCTACTAAGATCTATTGAAACTTAGCAAAATTATGTTACATCAATAAGGATGATATGTCATTATGCAAGGGTGAAGAATAACCTTCCCCAAATTTATTATTATTATTATTATTATTATTATTTTGGGGAAATTGGGGCCTAAGCCCATTCCATTAAATAAGGAAATAATACATAAAATAGGTTAACTGCTACCATAACAGACCAGTAGCAATAAACAAAACCTTATCAGCAAAAAAAGAAGCTGTAGAAACAAAATAAAACCTATTACAGACTATCAGCCATAGCTGCAGAAAGAAGAAATACAAAATTGTAGACCTTGTACATGTAACCCATATAATCCAGCCAAAAATGAACAGCCAAATAGACAAAACTGGCTAAAATTCTAGAAGAACAAGTAAAACTGTAAGAACAGGTCCCACCAAAAATATAACTCCCAAGCCAACTAGAACCTGGACTCCAAAAATATATGGATGTGCACGATAATAACTTAGGTTCCTGGTTGCCCGTAGACCTTCCAAAGGAACCAGATTTGGGAGTATCATCATTGTCCAGGTTCGGCTTCAGCAAATGCTTCCAGCGACAGTGCAAATTCCCGAACAGAACCAGCCAACCAACAGCATCCGTTAATACAGTAACTCTAGAAAATTCAATGAGTTCTTCCATCCAGCAATTTTATCAGCAATATTTCTTCTAACATTCAAAGGCAGAGTATGATGGCATTGAATAGTGTTTCCATCCAGCAATTTTATCAGCAATATTTCTTCTAACATTCAAAGGCATAGTATGATGGCATTGAATAGTGTTTCCAAATCTTCTGCCATTTCCCTCTTTCCAAATATGATAAATAACACAGTAAATAACCATATAAAAGAAGTTTTTAACCTTCTTGTTACCTCTATATTTACCTTTGATCCACCAAAAAACCTACATAATAGTGGGCCTAAAGAGAAAATTTTGTAATCCAGAAATTACAGCAATAAGCACAGAAAAAGCAAATCGCATTGAAAAAACAGATGGGAGACTGTTTCTTTAAAAGCATTACACAGGTTGCAATAGTCAGGGACCACAATATTTCTGATGAGAAGGGCATCTGCTGTTTTTAAACCACCAACTAAAGCCAACCACATAAAGACTGAGTGCTTAATGATGCTGTTATTCGCCCAGATAAATTTATACCAGGCACAGGGCTGTAGATCAGAGTAAAATTCATCAATAAAGTTCTTAAACTTATAAGAATTGCTATTTTTCCAAAGCAAACAGTTCCCAGTCGATGCATTTATATTGAACCCATCAATAAGATTTCTCATATTCTACGGAAAAGACTCTGGAAAATCCCACTGGGTTTCAGAGATAATATCATCCAAGGTAATATCAGGACAATTACCCTAAAAAACGCCCCCTAAAAACTCAGTAATAGTATGATATGATTATGACACCAGTGATCCCATTTCAAAGAAATAGGAGCAAACCGAGAGATGATGAAATTGAAACATTACTTGGCATCCAGAGCAGTTTTACATATTAATTTCCAGAATTTGGAAGCAAAGGCTGGACGGGGTTTCCATGGCGATTTGTAAAGACAGACCAGCCATTTGGAAAAAGGGGAAGAAACATTGTACATTCTGAAAATCACAAAGCAATTGTAAGCAAATTGGAGAGCATTAATAGAGGGGATGCCCAAACCACCTTTGTTCTTAGGCTTACAAATACTATCCCAAGCCATCATATGCAGTTTTTTAATAGACATAGAATCACCAAACAACAGAAATCTAGAGCTAGTACGTTTGATGAATTTGTAGACAGTTTTCGGCATAATGGATCCCCTAATCCAATAAGCAATAGTGTTCTGGATGGTAAATTTGATATATTGCAGTCTACCCGCAAAAGACAGCAGGTTGGCCTTCCATCCATTCATTTTCTTGTTAACCGAATCCATTAGGGGCAAATAGTCAGCAATTTTTAATCTATAAAAAGATAAAGGGATGTCAAGATAAGTAATCTTTTTAACAATGTTGTGAATGGAAAGAGCTTGACAGACCTCCTGCATATTCCTCTGATTCCTGGGAAACATAATGGCACTCTTATCATAGTTAATATGAAGCCCAGAAGATTGGGCAAAGTCTCTAAGTACAGTTATCTAAAGAAGCCTTCCCAAAGATTAAAACGTCATTTGCATATAGCAACTGAGAAAGAGAGTAATTTCCAAAGGAAATCCCTCTAAAAACCCCTATTCTCCAAGAGATTAGAGAAAGCATCCATCACCAGGCAAAAAAGGTATGGACTAAGGGGGCAACCCTGTCTTAGTCCAGCAGAAGAAGAAAAATAGCCCTCTAGAGCCCCATTAAGTAGAATAGAAAAATTGACATCCGTGATACATATTTTAATCCAGTTAACAAAAAGAGTAGGAAAACCTTTCTGCAGCATCCTCTGAAGAAGGAATTCACGGCTAACCGAATCAAAAGCCTTTTTGATGTCCAACTTAGCACAAAAGAACTTGCTTCCCCTTCTCTTGCCAGCATAAGATAAAATATCATTAGCAAGCAAAATGTTGTCGGTAGAGACTCTAGATTTGACAAATCCTGCTTGATTATCCTTGACTATTATATTCATAACAGGTTTCATTCTTTCAGCTAGAACCTTAGCAATAATTTTATAAAGCACATTACATAAAGCAATAGGTCTATAATCAGAGACATCAGTAGCATTTTTATGTTTAGGTATAATAGCCAAGGTAGTAGCCTTAACTCCAATAGGCATATAACATTTTTGAAAGAATGAGCGAACAGCCCTACAAACCATAGGGCCGATAATGTGCCAAGCTGATTTATAGAAAAAAAAATTATACCCGTCCGGACCTGGAGCAGCATTTAATTTACCCGATAAAATAGCATGTTTAACTTCTTCATCAAGCACAAAAGAAGTTATATCAGTAGCATCAGACAAAGACAAAGGGTTCCCTTAGGGAAAAGTAGTAAGAGACGTATTCGGAGGAGCAGTAGGGTTATATATTCCTTGAAAATACTGAATTAAAAAGCTTACCACGTCAGATCTAGCAGAGGAAGTAGCATTTGTAAATAAGTTAACCACAAAGCTAGACCCAGCTCTTCTAGTTCTGATTTTAGCAAAAAGAAACTTTAAATCATCCTCCCCATTCATAATCCAATTAACTTTTGCCCTTTGGATAACCCAAGAGGAAAGCATTGAATTAAACTTAGCAAGTTCCATAGTGCAAACCTTGTAAGAATGGTTAAGAGCCACATAATTGGGGTCATTCTGCAACTTAGCCATCAGATCCATTTGCTTAGCATTTAAAACATCCAAATAGCTAGAAATACAAGAAGAAGAAGACCAGACCTGACTCTTAACCTCATTCTTAAGTTGCTTTAAGGAGTTCCTGAGGTGGGAGATAGGATTCCCAGAACAAGGTTTAGAAAAAACCTCCAAAAGAAAACTCCAATAATGATCAAAATTCGTCCAGAAATTCTTGAAAAGAAAACGATGGTGCCACTGAACATTCATACCATAATTAAGAATGATAGGGAAATGATCCGAACAGGAGGGGCTTTGGATGACACAGTAAGAGTCAGTGAAAACATTAAGCCAATTCTCATTAACTAAAACACGGTCAAGTTTGATATGAATAGGGTGTACCAAGTAAACTTGAGCCCAACATAATTTAAATCCATTAGTCTATTATAAAAAATCATGTTGTTAAAGTCTTTCAAAGCAGTGTGATTGATAACATTCCCTCCAGATTTTTCAAAAGCATATCGATAATAGTTAAAGTCCCCAAGAAGAGCCCAGGGGAGATCAGTAATGGGAGAGAGCTGACCTAAAGAGTCCCACAGTTCTTTGCGTTCAAGATGGTTGTTGGAAGCATAAATAGCAGAAAGCTGCAGCAGAGGTTGATTGTCAACCCAAATAATTCCAGAAATAACCTGGTTCGTAATAAGAGAAGGCTTGAAGCTAAGTTTAGAAGCATCCCACTTTACCCAAATCCGACCCGGGGAGGATAAGGTAAAGTTATGACAACTCTGTTCATTCAGAAACAGAGAGTGAGAAGATTCAAAGTAAGAATCTAGAAGAGAATTAGAGTTAATTCTATTTTCCAGAATGCACACCAAATGTAAGTTAAATGATTTGATGAGATGTTTGCAACTCATAACTTTATCAGGATGATTGAGACCCCTGATATTCCATGCTGCCATTGGCGGGAAGGACATTAACAGTTTGAGTTGGATTGAGGTTTTTTGTTCTGCTTCCCCCTTGCAGGTTTTTTCGTCAGCACACTAGCTTGTGTTTGCTTTCCCTTTTCCGCTACCTTCGAATTGTCAGGACCCGTCGATCCCATTTTGCCAACTATGTTCTGAGAGTCAACAGAATGAACAGAATGCTCATCTTCGATGTTCAGAGCATCGAACTTATTAGGTGAGATGATACCTTTAGATGAGGAAATGTTTTGAGTGGTCGAGGAAGAGGAGATATCCTCATGGGGGGAATTTAGGTTTGGGATGCCCGAAACAATGGCATCGGTCATTAATGGTATCTCAGAGGAAGGAATATCGCCAACTACAGACTTAGAGGGGCTATAATGAGATGTGGGGGAGTTGGGTTGAAAATGCAAAGGTTGCCCTATAACATTAATGAGGATGGAAGTGGGCCGAGAGGAGGAAGGAGCTTTATTGTTTATTTGGTCTGATTGTGGCTGTTGAGCAGAGGAATTCCCAATATTGGTAATATGATGTAATTCTGACTAAGCTTTAGAGGTCGGAGGTCTAGAAAG